TTGGCTGCGCAAAAGCCTTCCATGCTGTGTGGGTTCGGCTCCCACCGAGGCCGCGAATTTTGCATAAGTGGGTCAATCGAATTATTGAAATACACCAAACCCCTAGAAACCATAATTGCACAATTTTATCCCCGAACTTACCAGATGTCGCTTGCCCAGTCATATGAGACTATAGCACAGCACAGTGATGAAAAACGACAATAACGTGTACATTGTAGGACATCCGTGCAATAATATTTCGTCGTTCTGCATGGGCAGTTTGAGAAACCAGGCCCCCAATTTTAGAGTTGATTAAAGAGGAAAAAACCACTACTAGCAAAACTAGACGAAGTGGATTTGCGCAGAGTGCGAAAGTCTAGCGGCGGCGTCAAGCTCGAGTTCAAATACTCTATTATTCTAAACAACGGAAGGCCAAAAGCATCAAACAAAAAGGGGTTAGAATAGGACTAAAACAGAAATATTTGGGTGGCAGATCCCATTGAGAGGAGGTATAGGTGAGGAAAAGATGATTTGCCAGCAGTTACAAAACCATATGTCTTCTGGACTGCTTCCTGGAACTCGAATATTCGCTTCTATCGGCAACCGTATGGTTATCATGATGACTACTAACTGTAGGATGCTGCCAAATAAGGAATGTGACAATGTTAGTGCTTGTTACACCCATTAAGCTGCTGGTGTACGAGTTAGTTATCCTGCATAGCACACACACGGTAGTTTCACAATCACGCTCGACGAGGATCACAACCGCCTGGGTATAAAATGCGGACTTATGAACGTTTCAGTGATAGGAGTCGATCAAGACGACCGAATATCAGCGCGGATGCAGTAGCTGGCGGGGATAAACGACGCTTGCCTCGTCGTCAGTTGTATATAGGCCATTTGTATGAAAATTAAGAATTGCGCCATATGGCCTCTGTATACACAAGTTCCGAAATAAAGCACAGGAAATATAAAACTGCGGCAATGCAATAAATAGAACACCCGCAATCATCGCTAACGATAATTACATCACTATTGTGCACAACTGTTTATTTCGAGAAAAGATAAAACACCACGGCGAATTTGTAGTTGGAATTTTTAAGGTCCGCCAATCTGAATCGCCATGGCACTCTCCGTGATGCAAAATTGAAGAGTTACAGGTAGCGGGGACTAGGCCAATTTCTCAACACCAAGCACGGAAGCAAAACCCCCTGCGCTTAATTTGTCTTCAAAATATATGCAGGGCAAAGTTGTGGGAATTCCCAAAAACTCAAGTTTTGGAATCAACTGGGAAGTACGGCATCTTTTGATTCGTAAGAAAATCCAGCTTTTACAGAGCAACCACGTCGCGAGAATGTTTGATTGGCATCTGTCTACGCGAGCATTCTACGGTGACGTCGTTACATGGGCTCGTTGTCAAGGAAGATGGAAGAAGTTCTACACGGAAACCAGTAAAATAGCTTTGAATCAACTGCAATTCACGGAGGACCACTACACGGGGCCGGTAGACAGGTCAAACTACGCAAAGGAATGCAGCCAATCGATTAAGTGCGGCTAGTGAGAGGATTTATGGAGGCAAAATCCACATGCCCAGGAACGTTACAAATGCCTACTCTCGCTCTCTCCCCCATGTCCTCACAGTCAATGAAAATTCGAAGGTCGCATTGGCCCTATGGGTCTTCTTTGCATTTAATACAATACTAATAATGCCTATACTTTGAACGCAAAATGGTGGATGTAATTTCTCAGGATGAAAATTCTTGTGTTAACCGAGTACTCAATTCCACCTCTCAGACCAACTTCACCACTGTTAGTTAAACCGCCCTAATTTTCGAACCTAAACAATGTCAGGTCGCATAACTCAGTCCACCAGAGAGCAAATAACTTCGAATAACTTACACCTGTGGCGACTGCATTAGCAACCGATAGAGTGCTTGTGACGGTAGTTACTAAAGCTAGATAGGATCACGCTGCTCCCAACCTGCCTTAAGTTATCAGCTTCGCCGGCTGCCATAACGTCATCCCTTGACTTGTCCAACCCAGCCAGGCTGCCCATCTGGAATTACTGTAACTTACCTACTAAAACATCTACCACAAAGTACCTCAATCTACCCGCACTTTCGGTACAGACAGAAGCAATAAAAATCTGTCTAAAGACCCCCATATTCCTACACCGTTGCCGGAACAACTGAAGACTATAATTTATCATCCGAACTATAAGTTAAATCAGACGAAAATGGTCATCGTCGAATACAACGAGGGAACTAGTACTACCGTAAGCGACTTAAGAACATAGACCAAAAATTCACGTGGAATTGATCATATGATTGTTATCCAGCCTTTTCATGACATCTTCTTTTCGGATAACAGTCGAAAGTAGAAAGAGAACTGTGTGCAAGATGCTACTGTCTTTAAGATGTTGTTCGGCATGGACGACAAGAGAGAATGCACTGCGACCTTCCTGCATAGGACATATCAAAAGGAAACCAGGATCAGGAAGAAAGCCGACAGCCACGCCTACAAAGCTCGTGGTCAACAAGAAAGCAAGGTTGAGGAGGGGAAGGCCAGACTATCAGGGGACAGTGAATGGGCTCAAGGTTATGGAAATACGGTCCAGAACATCGTCAGTAGGAAGACTAGGATCGCTTTTTAGGATGGAATAAGGTTAAAATACCAGAACGAAGTTAAAAAGAGCAGGCACGAATATTTTGCTTAAGGACAACAAAGAGTCCGTCGTCCACAGGGCTCGTAAGAGCAGGGGGCACAAACCTGACTTTAGACATCTGGATATCGGATCGGTAAAAGTTGAAATGAGGCCATCTGAAGAAGAAACCATGGATAATGACTCCCAACCCCGACGAGGGAGTTAACTAACCAGTTAGGAATCCACGACGTTTTACATGCTATGATATATTAAATGCAGATTAATCGGACTATGGAGGGATAAGATGGAACATGACGGGTTTCACTCTTACTACTTTGCTCGGCGGTGGTCCAGATGCAGGAGACAATTTGGCTGAAGATGGCATCACTCATCTCGTCCCCGGCCCTAACGTGCTGCTAACGTGTTGGTTCACCAAAAGATACAAGTCATTCTCGATCGGGAGTCATTATCCAGCAGCAACAGACTGGCCTCATTTTAGGTTTTGAAAAAAATCTCCGCCTGAGGATCCAACAAACGGGATCAAGGACCAACGGCTTAAAACGCCTGCGGCGAAAGAGAAGATACCAGGAGAGGGTTCTCAAGACTCACCTGAACACTGCTGGGCATGGCACCGACAATCTCCTGGATCTGATCTTTAAAGCCAAGGCTGAGCATCTCGTCGGCTTCATCCAGAACAAAAACGCGGATGTGATTTGACTGCAGAACTCCGCGGTGAAGAAGGTCCAGAACCCTACCCGGAGTTCCAACCAGTACATGCTGGCCGGCTCGCAGCTTCTCAATATCTGCGTTGACTTGGGTGCCACCGATACAGACATGACACGAGACGTCCATATAGTCCCCAAGAGCAAGAACCACCTGTGAAAGAGGGATTCATCAGAAAGACTAGAGTTTTCTCTACATTACTAGCCGAAACAAGCTCGCTACCACTCATAACTGCCAGACTCCGCGTAAAGAGGGATGCTGAAAGGGTCACATGGAGGAGCCATGGCGGCCTGGCCCTTCGCCTTCAATAGAATCGAGCTGCTGGGGCAGAAAGTAATGCGCGAACTTGCAGTAGATCCTTCAGGACAAACTTTTTCAAGCACGGTCTGAAAATTAATTTGACTGTCTTAGACGAATTTCACCGGTATCAGCAGAATAAGCGTGCAATCTTTAAAAGCTGCCACGCATGTTGAAGGAGCTACTATACTGGGAGCCCAGGTACCAGCTAGAAGCGCAGAAATGGCCCTCTGTCGAGTTTATACGGCTGCGTGAAGCAGCTGTAAGGAGTTTGACTTACCAGTGTGTGTTCCAGCGTTTCCTGTATTTCCTGGCATATCCTTAGGTTTACCAAGTTTGTCCTCAAGGATTTACTTTGAAGTCGAGCACTAACTTCTGAGGAAATCAAAAAGCTCAACGCTAAAACTGGAGTCTATATCCGAAGGCCCATGGGGAATGCAGGGAACCTAGTGATGAGTAAAGTGCCTTGTAGCTGAGCTATGTAGCGACACAAAATAGGCGAAATATATGTCTGGGCCTCTAGCTAGGACCCGTGCTGCCAGAGTGGTAAATAATTCAACATTTTATGCTACTGGCTACATTTCGGCAGCCCGTGAATACTACGCGAGTATTATGTTGAAGTAAATGTGGCTCACTTAAATTAATAAGTACTTTGCGAAGGAAAGTTAAGATTGCAACCACCGTTTATAATCCCAACATAAATCCCGAAAAAGGTTTAAGGCCAGTCTCAGTGAGGACGACAGAGATTGATAGTGGAAAAGATAACCAAAATGGGCATTAAACTCCTACGATATTATAGAACGGGAGATGGAATCCTTTTGATGAAGAGTAGCAGAAAGTGACGTAAATGTACAAAAAACGGACTACGATAAAAGATCACTACCACAACGACCTGTAGAACAGGGTTAACATATCAACATATTAGTACTGTTCAAAATGATGCCAACAGGCCACGTTTCTGAGGCCTAGGGAACTGAACACAAATGAGTGAGCAATAGAAGATGCGATAGTTCGAATTGATGCAGTGAGAAGGGCATTTAAATAAAAACAAAAATACTACCGCCTCAGTCCCTGCCGACTTTGCCAGCCCGGTTAACACGGAACTAACGGATTGCTTTGCGGCTCAGGGCGGTCAGTGAGATCAGTCAGGGCCCATTTGACGGAGGATGTGCATCTAGCAGTAGTCATCAACACAAGAGGGTGCACATGGGCACCATTTTTGGGGACTATCCAAAACATAGCAGTCACAGAAAACAACAATTTAGGCAATATAATTCGCTATAGTTGCAGATATTACAAACTAAAATAATAGATCAGAGCATATGAAGGAATAAGGCACCTTTTGAATTTGTTTAGCCAGCTCGCGAGTTGGTGCGAGGACCAAGGCTTGACAATACGGCACGGTTGTATCGATTTTCTGCAGGAGTCCAATGCTAAAGGTGGCTGTTTTTCCTGTACCCGACTGAGCCTGGGCGATGACGTCACGACCTTCAATGGTGGGTACGATAGCCCGCTGTTGGATCGCAGAGGGCTTCTCAAAACCGTACGCGAAAATTCCCCGGAGAAGATTTTCCTGCAGGCGCATATCCTCGAAGGATTTGCACACAGTGGTGTAAGTACTCTCAACTTCTGAAGTATCTTCCATTCTGAACGAACAAACTCAAAGTTAGCGGACGAGAAAAAA